CTGCACCCCATGGGAGACCAGGAGAAGCACCTGGCTCCTGCCATCGGATCAGCGCGGTGCGCCGGCCGCAGCGTGCCAGCCGCGGGGGCCATCGGAAGGTGAACCAACGGCAAAAGAAGACCTTTCTCTCTGTCTCTCTCTCTCACTGTCCACTCTGCCTGTCAAAAAAAAAAAGAAAAGAAAAAAAAAAGAAAGAAAGAAAGAAAGAAGATTTATTTATTTATTTGAGAAGCAGAGTCACAGACAGGGAGAGAGAGAGAGAAAGGTCTTCCATTCACTGGTTCACTCCCCCAAAATGGCCACAATGGCCAGAGCTGTGCTGATCCAAAGCCAGGAGACAGGAGCTTCTTCCAGGTCTCCCACATGGTGCTGGGACCCAAGCAATTGGTCCATCTTGAACTGCTTTCCCAGCCCATAGCAGAGAGCTGGATTGGAAGTGGAGCAGCTGGGACTCGAACTAGAGCCCATGTGGGATGCCTGTGCTGCAGGCAGAGGCTTAACCTACTATGCCACAGCACCAGCCCCTTAACCCAAGTTTTACCTCAAAATGATTACCTGAAATTTTACCTAAGACTCTTTTTATAAAAATCAATGTTTTGTTCATAATGGTCTATATATTTTCAATAGAATCAAAAACTTTTCTCTCATATATGTTCTGAGATTTCATTGATTTATGTCACAAAGGGCAGAAGGCATAAAATGCTTTGGAAAGAGATGTAACTGACCCTTCTCCCTCACCATTCACTTGGAGGGAGCCCAAGGGTACAGATTTACTAGCAGGTAGTCTAGCCACTTATGTTTGGTAGCTACATTATTTTCTGTTGCTGTGTAACAAATTACTACAAATTCAGTGAATTAGAACAGCATATACTTATTATCTTGCAGGTTTTGTGGGTCAGGAGTCTGGCACAGTTTAGCTGGGTCTTCTGTTCAGGGTCTTGCAAAGCCAAAATCAACTCATTGGCCAGCTACATTCTCATCTGCAGGCTCCACAAGGGAAAGATCTGATTCCAAGTTCACTGGGTGTTGGCAGAATTTGTTTCCTTGTAACTGTATGACTGGGTTCACCACTTTCCCGCTAGCTGTCAGCCAGGCGCGGCTTCCAACTCCTGGAGGCCCCACTCTGCCCCCTGCCATCTGGCTGCTTCCATGGCCAGTACACATGGCTTCTTGCCTCTTCAATGCCCTCAAGAGGATGTCTCTTGTGAGACACCCCATTAGGTCAGGCCTACCCAGCTACCCATAATCTCCCTTTTGAAAACTACAAAATCAATTGAGATGGGGGCCTTTAATTGCATCTGCAAAATCACTTAACTCTTGTCATATATTACAGCCTGCATTAGTCACCAGGTTGAAATCCATCATAGTCAGTCCCACCCATACAGAGGGGGAAATGATTACATTGGAAATGCATACAGGAGTCAGGATTTGGAAAATCCTTTCAGAGTTCTGCTACCCTAGTGTCTGTGAACATGACTTAACTTGATTTACAGAACTATTTATTGAAGAACATTGATTAATATGATAAGAGAGATAAGTAAAATGGTTAGGAACTTGCATCTCATTCCATTTTGATCATAGTGCTGACTTCTTATGGAGCACTGATACCCATACAGACACTATTTGTAAGTTATCAAGGACTTCAGAGAAATTCCAACAGAGATAACACATTTATATTAAAAGTGTGAAAAAGCTAAAGTCACCATTTAAAAGATAAAATGCCTATGTCAGCAAATATAAAATTTCTAATAGATATTAGTAGTGCTTGTCTCAGATTATTTATTATCTAATTATTTATTCATGTGTATATTTTCTTTGCACTGAAAAATTATACATTACCATATGAACCAAATCTAGACACATTTTTATCCCATTCATACTGATATCTTAAAAGTTATAATTACTATATTGCTATCCCAATAGAAAATTGAATCAGTAGATTCATCCACTTCAGTGGAAAGGAAAAGACAATATCTAAATCAGGTAACAAATTTAAACATCAACATATTTCCCTCTCTTTCTCTCTCTCTCTTTATTTCTCTCTCCCTCTCTCTCTTTCAATGCTCATTAGTTAATAAAACTTTTCACAGTGTAATTGTTCTTTCCAGGTCTTCCTGCTGCACCAAATCTATAACTTGTTTTTATGACCTTATTTTTTGTGCCCTACGTGGACTTGTGACTATAACTTATGGAGTGATCCTCCCCAGTCTCTGGAGAAAAATGAATCCAAGCAGCTACAAATCTCAGACACAGTGAAAACCTATAAAGAATGTGAGACAGAGAGACCTGGCTTCAAATTTCAACATCACTAATGTAATTGACCTTCAATAAATTTACTTAATTTTTCTAAATTTCAAAACAAATATAGTAGGACCTTAAGACATTTTATAGAAAGTTCCCATCAAATATTAAAGGGTCAAATAAAACACATTGTTCTTTTTCCAGCAACTTTCATTTTAAAAGGAGCTTATTTTGTGCTAGAAGTTCACTATATAGTCATTCATTCCTTAATACTATTTCCAAGACTCTGTTTTGTGGCCTGTTGGACCCATGTGATGCTTCTAGCAGAAAACAACAACAAAAGCAATAGCAAACGCTGGGGAAGCACTGCAGACTCATCAGTGCTAGAAAAGTCTCAATAAATATGTCATAATATAGACTCTGATACACCCTAAAGAAAACTCTTTAATATTTTGCTAAAATTCCTTAGGACAAGCTTAGGAAAATGTTATTTTGAAGAAATTTGATTGTATCATGTCTAAGAAATTCATACATAATCTCACCAGAACTGAGAGATACGGCTGCAGAAATTGGCCTAGTGGTTAAGATGTCCACATTTCCTATCAGAAAGTGCTTGGCCAGAGTTTAATACTCACCTCAGACTCCTAACTTCATCATCCTACTAAGGAAGACACTGAGAAGCAGCCAAGATGGTTCATGTGATTGGGTTCCTGCTATAGGACTCACTAAGTCGAATCTCAAGGTATGCCAACCTTATAATACCACCATGTTTTGTACATTTGACCCTAAAATTGGCTTTAAAGAAATGTGTAATATGTTTTTCTAGGTGGAAAATGAGTCAAGAAATTCTGAAAAGTTAAGAAGTTCTGTAAGACCACTTGGCTACTTCCTGTAGGAAACCTTGACTGAGTTCCCGGATTCACTTTCAGCTTCAGCCTCAGCTTTGGCCAAGACTAAGTCATTGTAGATGTACGTGGAGTGACCCAACAGATAGGAGTGCGCTCTCTCTCTCTCTCTCTCTGCATTTCATGTAAGTAACTTTTTAAAAAATCAAAATTATTAAAGAAAGAGAGATAAACAATAGACAAGGAAATAAAAAGTGTCATTACAAGTAAAAAACACAAGGAAGATGAATGTAGCTTAACGAACGTACAACTGATTTTGAAGCTTTGGTTTGTAGATGTAGCAATAGATGATCACTCTTAACTGCCATTCAACAATATTAAATATCACAGATGACACCAATGATCACACATTGGTGAAGAAAAATAAATTGTGACTGCCATCGTCTTGCAACCTATTATGGCTTAATCTTGCTGTAGAAAAACCTGAGAATCTGGCACAGTGGAGTGAATGGGGGCCAGAGGAGCAAGGACATCTCTACCTGCAGCTCTGAAACAGCAGATGGAATGGTGCAAATCTGCGAATACATCCACATCACTTCTGGGGACTATTGAATGTGAATTGTTGATGGGATAGCTGGCACATAGGAAAGTGAATTCTCAGTTACATGACAAAAAGGAAGGCAGGCAAACACGTCACAGAATGATCAGGGGGTTGAGGGTAGTATCAAGAAAAAAATAGACCTTGTTCATGATGGCCCTTGCTGTCCCCTGTGGTACAATAAATCAACGTGATGTTCTCCACAGCTAGAGATAAATATGACACATGAATGTGGAAATTTAGAACAAAAGAACTGATTTAGCCTATGCTGGAATAAATTGAATTCCTAACCTTTTTCCCTGAAATAGGCACCCCCATGTCCCTGTTCCCCATTACATTCTTTGGGCTGCTTGTTGCCTGGTGTGGAGTGGTTGCCTGGTATGTGGTGGCAAGGTATAATTGAAAAGTAGCCAAGTGGTCTTAGAGAACTTCTTAACTTTCCAGAATTTTTTAATTCATTTTCCACCAAGAAAAAGAATATTAAACATTTCTTTAAAGCCAGTTTTAAAGTCAAATGTACAAAACATGGTGATATTATAAGATAGCCATACCTTGAGATTCGACTTAGTGAGTCCCATCCAACACCTTGAACTTCTTTGGACATTGTTGCCATCTTTATAAAACCAGTCTGCTACCACCTCTGAGACAAGATATTTTGTGTTGATGACTTCTCCCAAAAATGTACAATATAGGATTTTTTGTTTGAAGAAACTGAGATTTAGAGAGAGAAGGCATCTTTCCCAAGTGGGTTGGTCATAGACCATGACTGCAAGTTTAGGTCTTCTGATACTGCTGCTCACATTGTGTCCAGTGTACTACTCTGCCAAAATACTCATCAGCATTGATAGCCAATGTGTTGTGGAAAGTCTCTTGAACCATACATGTATTAAAGAAGGGATCGGTTAGTATGTCAGTGCGTACCTAAAGGAAATGGAAATAAAGGGAGGTGTGCAAGAGAAAATACACCATAAAGAAGGGAGAACACATTTCTTGAAATGGCTAGACCTTTAGCAGAGAAATGTTTTAAAAGATTTTCATAGGACTTGTCTTGAGGAGTAGCGAAAAATCATGTTAGAAACTTAAAAGAAAAAATAACTGTAGGAGCATTTTGTAGCGAGCCCTTACCACAGTCCAATCATTGTATAGGTGTTACTTCATTTGATCTTCTCAACAATCCTATGCGGGAGAAGTCATTTTACAAAGAAGGAAACAGACTCAGAGACGCTTCTGATCACACCTGCAGAAACTGTTTTTAAACAAACACTAATAGGTAACATTACTATGTGTTTGATGTTATTCCCAGTTCTTTACAAATACTTATTTAGCCTTTGTAGCAGGGTTATGAGATATGATTATCCCCAGCCTACAGACACATTCCAAGCAGTTGGTAGAGAAGGAGTTCAAATGTCTGACCACTACGTATGCTGCCTGATTAGTAGTGGAGCTGGAATTCACACAGTTCAGTCTGCTTCCAGGGCAGGTGCTCTGAAGAACTAAGTTTCTCGCATCAGTTGGCTCTTTGTTACTTTAGCTAAAATGAGAGGCACTTCTTGGAATGAATAAGGTTTATTGCGGTTTACATTTTTGAGGTTCGCAGTCCAAGATTAGGGGGTCCTCCTGGTTGAGGCATCTGGTGAGACCTGTGGATGACAGAGAGTTAATCATATGTTGAGCCAGGAAGTTGAGACAGGGAGCTTATATTATTGTGCTTATAAAACCAAAAGTCACCAGAGAACTACCCTCCCCCATGACCTGGCCTACATTCCAGATGCCATAACTAGATCAGGTCTCCACCAATCTAAAACTTTGGGGTTTGAGTGCTTGCATTTAGAGAACCAAATCCTGTTGAAGCCATACACATTTTTTCTTCCTCAGTTTCAAAAGTCCTTATGGTAAATAATAATAATAATAATAATAAAGATGAACTCTAGTGAAACAAATATGAAAATATTTGATTTAGATGATATATGATTGGAACCCTTTGGTGGGCAAATGACAAGATATTTTTGTGATACTATGTGAAAAATTAAGTAATCAGAAAAGTACTCCATTGAGTCCCACCTTAATCTTCCCACCATAAGAGTAGTAACAAGAATAATAAATCACTATTGAATGCTTATAGTGTTTAAGTACTATCTACAAATTTTTGAGTTTTTCCTTGATAAATTCGTGCAACACTCTAGACTAGGTACAACTCTCATCAATTTCTAGATGAGAAAACTGAGATAAAGAAAGATGAAGTAAATTGCCCAAGGTCAGACAGCCATGATTAATCTACAGATTTGCATTTCTTTTTTCTTTTTTAATATTTAGCTATTATTTGAAAGCCAGAGTTACAGAGAGAGAGAGAAAAGACAGAGAGATCTTCCATCTCCTGGTTCACTTCCCAAATGGCTCACTTGGTTAATCCTCTGCCTGCGGTACTGGCATCCCATATGGGCACCAGTTTCTAGTCCCGGCTGCTCCTCTTCCAGTCCAGCTCTCTGCTGTGGCCCTGGAGGGCAGTAGAGGATGGCCCAAGTGCTCGGGCCCTGCACCGACATGGGAGACCAGGGGGAAGCATCTGGCTCCTGGCTTCGGATAGGCACAGCACCAGCGGTAGCGGCCATCTGGGGAGTGAACCAACAGAAGGAAGACCTTTCTCTCTGTCTCTCTCACTCTCACTGTCTAACTATCTGTCCAAAAAAAAATGGCTGACGCTAGGAGCCAGGAGCTTCTTTCATACCTCTCACTTGGATGCAGGCACCTAAGTATTTGAGCCATCTTTCCACTGCTTTCCCAGGCCATCAGCAGGAAGCTGGATTGGAAGCAGAGCAGCCAGGACTCAAACCAGCACCTATATGAGATGCCAGCACTGCAGAGGGCAGCTTAACTCATTGCGCCACAATGCCAGTCCCTGTGGATTTGCATTTCAACTCAGGCAGTTTGAATCCGAAAACCAGTCTTAATCCCTAATTTTGATCACAAAATAACCGTGAGACAGCAGAATGCCTGAACTCTTATCTGCATGCATCCAATCCAGGAAAGCAGTCCGCCCCTCCTCTCTCCCCAGTGCACACAGACTCTCATTAATGTCTTTTCCAGCAAGAGCCTCACTGCAATAGTTTTTATTCAAAATAAATGAAAACACCTCAACTATTAGGAACACAACAGAAAAATTTTATATAGAATGTGAATGAAAGTGTGGGCATCTTCTGGTGTGAGATTGAATCCCCATAAGATAATCATAAAGAAGATAATGGGTTGCAATTCAACTATGAATGAACACAGTATTACATATCTCATGGGTCCTAAAGACATGTAGACTCACAGACCTTTGTATTCGAATATATTTTTCTAAATGTTACCCAGGCTCCTGGTATAATTGATTATTTATTTTTTTCTAGTACAACATGTCTGGAGTCTTTTGCTAAACTCTCTATTCAGGTAGTGAACAAAACCAATACTGCTAAGATTATTAGGAAAACAAAGCTATAATCAATCAATTGAGCTTTGTTAAAAAATAAAGTGCAACTTCTCTATTTCCTCTCACATATACCTCTTTTTTTTTTTCTTTTAGTCTGAACATATGTTGCTTTGAACACTCAGTAAATACAACTTTTATTTTAGGTTTAACAATAGCTCTAACTGCTGCATGGCTAGGTTAGATCAGAGTCGTGGGCTTCCAGAATTAAGTATTGCAGTAATGGAGGGAACTGTTCCTTTGAATAGAAGTCTCCTTCTATGCTCCTCATTGTCTCTGGTACATGTTAACATCTTCTGGAAAACCTGTTTCACAAGAAAAAAGGGTAGAAGCAAGCTGTTAGGGCAAAGGCTGAGAAGAGGAACAGAAGGTTAAGTTGGTGGGGAGGAAATCATGGTGAAGGAAGAGGGAAATCAGGAAATTCACTGCAGTTCAAGAGCACACTCATAGCCGAGGAATCACATGAACATGAGTGAAAATACTAAGATTCAATAAAATACTTCCTTGGGGGGCCGAGGCAGAAATTTTTTAAAACCTCAGACCTTTGGACAGAAAAGCTAAAGATGCATAGAAAATCCCTTTTCTATCCATATTTCTTTATGCCTACTTTTTTTTCTGCACAGGAAAATTCTAACATTAAACAACAGGCTCAAGAAACTTTTTACAGGATAGGATATTTATGTGTATTTATAAGCACAGTGATCCACTGACACAAAACTGGTGGGCTGTCAAGGGATACATGAGCCTGCTCTCCCTGCTCCCTGGGATTTAAATGCTAAATATCCCCAGTTCTCTCCTGCCCAAGCAGTCAGCTTCCATCCGCATCCTGATGAAGAATCTGATATCTTAATATATTAAAAAGTCAATTCATTCCACTACCGTGTCTTCCTAATTAGCAATGTGTCTTACATGGTATAAATGATCAGCTCTTATCAGGAATCCGTGGACTACAACGAAAAATTAACTTTAACAAGTCTTTCATTTCATTTCACCAAATTGCATCTTGATGGTTGGAGACAGAGTGAGCAAAGTAATTTTCATTATCTGATAGCAGAACATTTACTTTTATTAAAAACAAACAAGTTGGTAGTCCAATGTTTCATCCCGGTGTATTGCTGGAGCTGTCCCATGTACATTCTGAGGCGGTCTGTTGGACCCAGGCAGGGCACCGTGGTGTAGCCTACCTTCTCCCAGCAAAGCTACCTTTCCCAATCCATTTCTCTAACTGAAAAAGATGGTCCTTGTGAAACATTCTGATACTGTGAATTTGAAGTCCCCTTGCGCTGTGGCTGCCAGAAAGTTTAAAAATGTTAAATCATCTCTCAAACTTGCCCTGGAAACTCAAGTTGGCTTATTAAAGTTTTTTTCCCTGTTTGAAAAACTTCTTTGTTTCACTAACGGCAGGTCTCCTGTGTTTTGTAATGTTGTTATTGAACAAGTTTAATGATTTGCTCAGGACCTCATCTAGAGGCATTACCAAGCAGCTCGAGATTAGAAACGTATGGTGGTGGAGTCTCTCCTAGAATAAATGAAAATATTTTATTCAGCTACCAAGAAAGGTCTCCAGAGATCAAATTAGAAGCTAGCTGTGAAGGGAGATGTTTAGGCATGCTCTGGAATTATTTATCAGCATTTTCTGCTTGTGTGAGAATAAGCAGACATTAAGTTTAAATTAAACAAAGGAGAAAGAAAACAAGTTTTTCAGTAATTTGACTGCTAATGATATTTCTGAATTATTCTCAGCTTAATAGTTTAAGTAATTTGCAATGATAATAATTGTTCCTGCTAAAACTACAACAGCGTTGATTTTTTTCCTTTTTGCCAAGATTAACCCCCTTTAAAACCTTTAATGGACATGTAATTGCAAATTTATTGTGGGCTTTGTTAATTTTTAAATTTGTTCTCTTCTTCTTGACATTTCTTTTAATTTAATTTAATTTTATTACATTCATCAACAATTTGAGAAACTGACTTAAAAGTCCATTAAAAAGGAATAAATGTTCTTTATGTTGCACTTGTTTGTCTTTATTTATAATGAGGCTGAGCTTGTAGATAGAATAAAGGCAGCCTAATTATTACTTGCAACATTAATGTGCTGTTCTCATGTATTCATTCTAAACAAGTATGCTTTTAGAGTTTGTTGGAAAGAAATAAACTGTTAACATGGAATTACCATCGTCCCGTAAATGATTAAATATAAGACCAGGCCATATCCCAAATTAACACACACATCTGTATTTTAAATAACATCTCTAATGAAGTTGTGCTAAAAATCATTAAACTTTGTTCTTAAAGGAAAACTGCATGTTTCCCAAAGAACTGGCAATTGAAATTATTTTTGTGTGAAATGCAGCTGGTTAATAAACTGGAAACTAAAGCCCTATTATGGCTGCTTTTCATATTGATGAAATGTAAATATATAACTCAACATTTTGTCAGCCAGTAAATCGTCTTTTGCGTGTCCTGAACCAAGTCACCATATTAATCACATACATAGAAATGACCAAGTCAACTAAAACACCTCTTGACACTCACTGTTTCAAAGGTGGAATAGTTGATGGAAATGATATTATTCCTAGAAATTCATGTTGCAATTTGAATATTCTTGATTCATATGAACTATTTTTAAAAGGATTTGGTTATCTGTTCTCAAGTAATTTCCATTAACTTATTCCATTGTGACTTAGAATTAAACTGCAACTTAAATTTTAAAAAGAAGTAGACACGAAAGAAAAAAGAAAAAAAAATGAGAAGAGGTGAACTGAGGACTCAATAAAGCATAATCTGTTTCTGTCCAAAGAAAAAGAAATATTTTGAAAATACATACTTACGTATGTCTATGTGTGTTTACACACATAAATTTCCTTTTTGTGTGATTTGAGAAGAGGCAATTTTGTGTAAAACGTTTTTTTTTACTCTGAAATGCTGCAAATGTTAATGACTTTCAGACACTTGGCAATGACATTTTCAAGTCTCTGCTAATATTCTTTCGGTGCTTGGAAATCAAATAATTACAAGTTGAAGCATTAAGAAAGAAGAAAGCATACAGTGCTGAGAATTAAAATGAGAATAAGGACTCAGTTACCAATACAAAAGAAAGGAACAATTTGAGCACACAATATTGGTAGAAATAGAGCAAATGCCATATTACTTTCTTTAAAATATTCTTAGATAATA